CATTGTACGGAATTAATTCTGCACAGCCCAGGTGGATTGTGGGTAATCATATTCATACTAATAATATAACAAGATCAGGATCAATTTTAGAACAATATTTTGGTCCATCGTTCTATGGGCATTTGGAATGAGTCTTATCTAAAATGCACTAGCCAATAAGTATTATTCATTGCGGAATAGTAACTTGTCCTTCTAGTGTATATATATATTTTTTTTATATTTAAACCCGTACGTGCCGTACAGTAAAATGTCCGATTCTTGCCGACGCGTGAACCCAGGTTTCCGCACGTGTTCTCGTGAGCGCAGCGCATGAGGAACACGTGCGCTGTGCTCACGTGTTCTCGTGAGCGCAGCGCATGAGGAACACGTGCACTGTGCTCACGTGTTCTCGTGAGCGCAGCGCATGAGGAACACGTGCGCTGTGCTCACATGTTCTCGTGAGCGCTGCGCACGTGGAAGCCTGCAACTACGCTGGGTTTTGAAACTTTGGACCTCTCCCCCCTCCCCGCCTTTTTCCTTCCGTCATGTCCCTCAGCTCGCCATCGGCAGCGTGCTGCCTGTCCAAAAAACGAATGCCGTTCAGGTTTCCCGACGTTCCACGAGGACAAGAAGAGCCATCCCGTGACCGCCTGCGTGCCAGGACAACCGTAAAAATGCGGTACGGAGAGAGGAACGTCGGTTTAAAAAATAAATCTTCTTGGGGTGATTTAAAAATAAAAAAAGGGCGAGCTCCCATTTTCCCTCCCCCCCCATCTTTGCACCGCTCGTTTTAGTACCAGCAACGCACTGCCCCTCTAGCGCATTCGCTCGCGTTGTTGTTGTTGTGTGCGAGCGAGTGTATGAGTGGCGGTGCGAGTGTGTGGTTTGCGCGTGCGTGGAGCGGTGGTGTAGCGGTTAGCGCGTTGCGCTACGAACCCCTGCGCCCCGGGATGGGTTCCCGCTCACTCACCACCAACACCGGTGATGGGTTTCTATCAAGGTAGCCAGCAAACGTGGGGCACGCGTGTGGAGGCCTCTCGAGCAGTTCGAGGGGCATCGGGCGTTGTACATTGGCCTCCGTTAGAAAAATCCGAATGAATCAACCAAAGAAGAATAAATACTGGGCAATTCATATTTCTCATCTTTATATCTCTGTCTCTCTACCCTCTCTCCATCAGATGTTATCTCCCTCGCCTGGTATGCAGGAGAGGTCGTGGATTCGATCCTGATCCTGATGCCTGTATATTTGGAGTTTGCGTGTCTCTTTCCCCGTGGTCGTGTGGATTTTCTCCGGGTCTTCCAGTTTTTCCCTCCACATTTAGAAAGACGCGTTTTGAGTATTTGGCTGCTATACATTTCCACACGATAAGCCACTTCATTGAGCTATCATTTGTGTTCAGGTCGTTTCTGAAAAAGATCCATCATAGCTCAGTTGGCCTTGCCTGGTAAAATAAAACAAATTTAGCTTAATAGTAGTTTACCTTGGTCTCTCTCTATCGCCACTGCGTCTCCTCTCGTCCGTACCTCTTCCGTCTACCCCGCGAGGATGATGTCGCGAGAATCAGATTCTTTACTTTCGGCCGGAGGAATCCTCTGAGTTATCAACCGAAAGGGCCCGTTGTCGCCGTGACGGTAAATCAGTCTTCCCAGCGCCTGGCGCGCGATGGAGAGGGAGGGATCCAAGTGCCTCGTGGGTGCGCACTCGTGAAACGTTTTCATCATCAGCATCTGCCGCTGCCAAATCGACGTTTGCGCAAAGTCAGCGATTTGTGTATCGATCTGCTGGGGGGGGGAAGTCTAAATTATGATAAATCAAGCTGTCGTGGCCCGTTAGGCCGGGGGGGGGGGGGGGGGGGGGGTGGGGGGTCAGTATCGCATTGGCTCTCTAGCGTATTCGCTCGTGTTGTTGTTTTGTGTGAGCGAGTGTATGTGGCGGTGTGTGTGTGTGACTGTGTGTGGGGGAGCGGTAGTGTAGCGGTTAGCGCGCTGCGCTATGAACCTGGCCACCCGGGTTCGATTCCCGCTCACGGCCAACACCAGTGACGATTATCTGAACCGGTCCCGGGCCTCCCCTAGGTCGACTCAGCCTCAAATGAGTACCTGGTGCGGTGTGTAAACATTGCCACTAGAGAGACAAAGGCGGTCGGGCGTGGTGCTGGCCACCCACCCCCTCGTGTACCGTTCCGGCCTTCATAGGTGCTCGCTAACAGCACTTGCCCCTACAGTCTGTTAAGGCTATACGGGGGATCTTTGTCTTTGTCTTTGTGTGTGCGCGTGATGTGGGGAGCGGTGGTGCAGCGGTTAGCGCTACGCTGCGCTACGAAACTGGCGACCCGAGTTCGATTCCCGCTCACGGCCAACACCGGTGACGATTATCTGAACCGGTCCTGGGCCTCCCCTAGGTGGACTCCGCCTCAAATGAGTACCTGGTACGGCGTCTAAACATCGCCACTAGGGAGACAAAGACGGCCGGGCGTGGTGCTGGCCACCCACCCCCTCGTGTGCCGTGCCGGCCTTCATAGGCGCTCGCTAACAGCACTTGCCCCAACAGTCTGTTACAGGCTACACGAGGGGACTTAATGTAACACTAAAGTGGTGATTCTCAGAGTGTGGTCCCGGGTCACAATAATGACAATATTTATACCTTTACTTATGATATTTAATTTAACAAATTTAGTGAGGTAAGTACCTTAAAGTACCTTAACCCTACGATCTAAATGCCCACCCGCCCATCCCTAACAAAAAAAAACACCTCATAGCTGAGTAAAAAAAAAATATATTACGTCACGTTAATTCCGAATCGTTTAGTGTATTTAGAGAGAGATGAGTGAATGCGTTTTTGAGAAGCACCGCGCTAGAGCAACAGGAACCTCTTAACCGCATTGGGGCGATGCGTGGGGATTCCCACAATGCATCAGCAGCAGCAGCCTCCATCTCCGAGCCGCGTGATGAGTGTGGCACTCTGGCGCTGGGCATTAATCTGTCGCTCGCAAACCTCCACCAATAGGAGCGCACGCCACCGCCGCGGCAGTTCAAGCCTCCGTTTGGAGCTTCGTGTTTTTGTTTATCGCTCTCGCTGTGTCGCCGTGCAACTCCTGACCGGCGGGACCCCTTTTTATTTCGCCAAATTATCCCGAATTGCGCCGTCGACCCTCGCGCCGTGAGATGAAGGATCCGTCCGGGAAGTCTCGCGCGGCAGTCGGTCAGCGTCCCACGGGAAGTGGATATCGCAGAGCTACCTTCAAGTGACCCTTCGTGTGGTCAACACAGTCGTGTGCAGAGCTGCCTCGTACACTCTGCCGCCAAGAGCAATATTTTTCACTGAGCGCTGGAACTTAGCCAAAGCGAGCGTAGGACCATAATCGACGTGACGTGGGTTTTTTCGCTGCTGCTTGTGCTCGGTCATCGGTGACCGGGGCTGCGAACGTCAACTCACCGCCACTCGGGAACGAGGTTTACCTCCCAGAACCGTGATTAGAATCCGGGATCTGGAGCCAGCGGGGCCACTCGAGGCAGCCGCCGCTGCCTGCGAATGCACCGAACGGCGTCGAGGAAGGACGGAACTTGATACGAGCGAGGCGCCAGTGGCTCGCGGCGACGAGAAAAATTATCTCTTCATCCCCCCCCCCCCGCCCGCTCTGCCTAGGGAAGCGAGGCGACGAGTTCCGTGCTCAGCCTCTTGAGCATCGCCGTTTGTCGCGCGCGGGTTTTGGCGTTCACGCCGCTTCTCCCAAACAAAGGGCGGCTCTCCGCTCGGGATGTTGGGAATTTCTCAAGCGCGCACATTTTCCCCGCAACGTGCATCGTGTTTCTTTTCATTGCGCGGGATTTTGCCCTCGCCGAAGTCCGGGGCGGCCTTCGATGGTCGAGGGAGTGGCGTTTTTTGTTGTTGTTGTTGTTGTTTGTTTAATATATTTTGAGGCCCGATCGCAGGCTTGTCGCGAGGCCCGAAAGCGTTGAGTGCGCCGCCTGGGCCCCTCCGTTCCGTTCCGTCCGTCCGCTAAGGGCCGCCGCGACGGAAACTCCCGTGCAGACGGTTTGTCGCGAACGTAGCTCGAGCGCAGCAAGAGTGTGCCCGCTCGTCAGGGACTTGTTCGACAGAAACCCGGCCAGGTTTGATCACCGAACGGGCTTCTCTCCAAAGCGTCCGCACTGACGTGCGGCGCCACGCGAACGTCATTCTCCGTGCGGCTTTGAAACGCGTCAAACGTCGCCGATTTAAAGGGCAACCGAGAACGAACGCGCGTTTGGGTTAGCGTTACGAAGTCCCACGCGCGTGCTTGGTTTTACTTTCCCACACCCCGTTTTTTTCTGTGTGTGTGTGGGTGTTTTTTTTGTTACGCGCGAGGTAACTGGGTGGAGGGGGGGGGAACCTGGAGAGAAGAGCGATCTAATGCTGCGCAGATGGGTCACGTGTCTACTTGCTGTACTGTCTTTTACACTGGGGGCGGGGGGGGGGGTGTCTCAAGCGGGCACAATCTCTGTGTGATCCACCAACCCCAACTCGCCGGTTTACGAGGGGGTCGTCACCGGCACGTCCGGTATATAAAGTGACAAAATAACAATAATAGAATCGCCGTGCTCAAGTCAGCGTGATATTACGGCAACTGTCTAGGGCTGTTTGCGTTCACGGGAATGCATTTGGTCATTACAGGCTGATGTGTTTTAAATTAAGTGCCATCCTGAGACGTCTCCGGGCGATGTAGACTTTTGCATTCATAACTTCAAAAACAAAAACGGGATACAGGCTTACACGTTCGTAAGCTAACAAAAAATAAGAGCATGAACACATACGCTTTTGTCTATTGCACTCATATATATGTGTGTGTGTGTGTACGTATGTATATAATTACACAATATTTACAAGCACGAGCGTCGGATTCGATCTCCAATCCGGCTGCATGTCCGCAACATTCACAACGACTTTTCCCTTCCCGAGTTCAGGCTCGAGCCCACGTCCAAACGTGACGACGACGAGCGGTCCACACCTCCTCCTCCGCACTCCTCCCGCTCCACCTCCTCCTTCCGCTCCACCTCCTCCTCCGCACTCCTCCCGCTCCACCTCCTCCTCCGCACGCCCGTCGCGGCTCCCCTCCGTGGCGTCACGGCATGATGGGTGTATCCGAAAACACGGAGCAGATGGAATCCGAGTCGGACTTGACCCTCTGGATTTTGATGAGCCGCTCCTCCAGTGCCCGGTGCTCCACTCCTCCTCCGCCGCCACCACCGACCAGCGACTTGCCGCGTCCCTTGCCGTGGATTTCGGCCGGCGACGCCGACACGACGCCGCCGCCGATGACGACGGAGAGCGGCTCCTTCTTGCCGTGCTCGGCAAACACCACGTGTTTGCCGCTGCCGCCGCCGCCGCCACCGCCGCCGCCGCCGCTCCCGTTGTGGCCGAACTTGTGGCGGCCGGGCGCCCCCCCTCCGCCGGGGAGCGGGTCGTCGCGGTGCTGGGGCGTGACGCTGAGGCTCGAGTACTGCGCGCTGCTGTCGTTCCTCTGCCGCGAGTTCGAGTTGGACGTCGACTCGTCGCCGTTGCCGCCTCCCCCGCCGCCGCCGCCGCCTCCTCCGCCGGCGCCGCCGGGGCCGTCGTCGTCTCCCGCCACGGCGTCGAGCTCCTCGGCCGGGCGGCAGAGGCAGCGGCACGGCGTGAGGTATAGGTACGCGAGCACCAGCACGACGCTGATGACGCACGCCGCCAGCGTGGTGAACGCCGTGTTGAAGGGGTGGTCCTCCTCCGCCTCGGACACGGTCACGTTCACCTCGACCGTCTCGTTGAGCGCCAGCGCGCCGTCCGTCACCACGCACGCGTACGCCCCCGTGTCGTTGGGCTGCGCCTGGGCGATGCTCAGGCTGCCGTTGGGGTGGACGAGCAGCCGCGAGCCGTGCGGCGTGCGCACGCTCGCGTTGGCGCCATCCCGCTCGTCGCCGGGCACCAGCGCCGCGCCGCCGGGCGTCAGCCACATGTAGCGTGCGCCGCCGCCCTCGCGGGCCAGGCGCCGGCCGCCGCAGTCCACCGTGACGTTGTCCTCCGCCTCGGCGTGCACTTCGGGCAGGCGCGTGCTGTCGCCGAGCGCCGACGTGCAGTTCATGCGGTCCCAGTCGGCGCGCCAGGCGCTCACTGCGCCGCCACCGCCGCCGCCGCCGCCGCCGCCGCCTCCGTCGGACGCCGTCGACGGCGGCGGCAGCGGTCCGTACGAGCAAGAGAAGTCGTCGGTGTACTCCACCACGGGCCTGAAGCGCCACTTCAGCCACAGCTGCAGCAGGATGAAGGTCTCGCACTCGCAGCGGAAGGGGTTGCCGTGCAGGTAGAGGCCGTCCTTGATCTCGGGCGACAGCGCGTCCAGCTCGCCCGCGGGCAGCGAGCTCAGCCGATTGGCCGAGACGTCCAGCAGCTCGAGGTCCTGCAGCGGCTGGCCGCGAGCGAGCAGCCCGAAGGGGAACTCCTCCACGAGGTTCCAGCCCAGGTAGAGCTTGCGCAGGCTCGCGAGGCCCGCCACGGCCGTGCCGTCGAAGTGCGCGATGCGGTTGTCGTACAGCAGCAGCTCGCGCAGCCTGGCCAGGCCGCGGAGCGCCGAGCCGTTGACGGCGCCCAGCCGGTTGGAGGAGAGGTCGAGCACGGCGAGCGCCGGCATGCCCTCGAAGGCGCCGGGCTCCAGCGCCGACAGGCGGTTGCCACGGAGGCGCAGCGCGAGCAGCCGGCTCGCGTTGCGGGCCCACGCCGACGGGCCCAGCCTCGCGATGGCGTTGTGGCCCAGGTCGAGGGCCGTGCCGAACGCCGGGAGGTTCGGCGGCGGCGCCGTCAGGTTGGCGCCGGCGCACGCGATGATGTCGGCCGCGCACACGCACACCGACGGGCAGGAGTGGAGGCCGGCGCCGGAGTCGGCGGAGTCGCTGGAGTCGGCGGCGGCGTGAAAGACGGCGGGGCCCAAGGGCGGCGGCGGCGGCAGAAGCAGCGGCAGCAGCAGAGCGCGGAGCGCCAGCGATGGCAGCAGCTGCCAGGGCGGCGCCCACGCGCCCGGAGCCACCGCCTTCCGCTTCTCCATGTCCGTGGTGGTGTTGTCTCGCGGTGGGTGGTGTTGTCTCGCGGTGGGTGGTGGTGGTGGTGGTTGTGGTGGTGGTTGTGGTGGTGGTGTGGGTTGCGGAGGTGGCGTGGGTACCGCTGTTGCTTGATTTTTTTCTGACGAGAGAAAGATGTGAAGGTCTTCCGGGATTGAAAGTCACGTCCAGTCTGCAAAAGAGCAATGCAACGGTAAAGGTGCAGCCCTGCGATAGCTTGCTCACCACACCGCTGCTGGCGGAAGGGGCCCTCCACTAGGGCAAGCTCGCGAAGGCAGCGTGTGTTTTTTGCCGACTCTATCACACCGTCCAGACGTCTTGGAACAGTTGGGAGTTCCCACACTTTAACCCCATCGCACAGCACCTGCCGATCGACTGAACCGTGGCGGTTAATCCATTGGTACTGCTGTCGGCAAATCAAATCGAACAGGCGACCTCTGGATTTGCAGTGCAGTGCTCACCGAACTATAAACTAAACGAAACTATTTTTTATCTTACCAGGGAAGGCCCCACTGACCGATGTATCTCTTTTTCAGAAGCGACCTGGCTATCACAAATGATCGCTCAACGAAGTGGGCTTATCGTGTGGAAATGTATAGCAGCCAAATTCTCTAAACGCACGTTGTTGATTCTAAATGTTGAGGGGGAAACCAGAGAACCTGGAGAGAAAAAATGCACGCGACCACGGGCAGAGAGAGACAACACAAACTTCAAATATACAGCAGGCGTCAGGGTCGGAATCGAATCCTCGACCTCCTGCATACCAGGCGAGGTAGTTAACATCTCACCACCGCGGCTCCCATGCCATTACACCACGGCAGAATTCCTCCTATTGTACCCATCGTTCTTGAAAACATATCCTACTTGCTGACAGGATAAAAAATAAAGTATACATCCTTTACATGTTGTTGACTGGATTGAGGATGCAGTGAGTATATTCAAAGCCAGATGATTATTCTGCACGTGGGAGGAATTCCATCCACTTTAAGGAGCGGTGCTAAATTGGTTGGCTGCTGTGAAAACGCCGCGTGAATCAGAGCCCACGATGTGGCATCCTCACGATTCGGTTTTGCAAAACTGTCAACCTTACTATAAAAAAAAAACTGGCCCAATTTTCTTCTTTATTAGGATCACCATTTTCAAAAATGGCGTACGGCCAACCGCACGGGGCGAGCGCCGCCCATTGACCGCTGTTTGCATGGAGGGACGCCCCTCGACTTTGAGCAACGCAATGACCGTAATCGATCGTCCTTCCCGGGCGCGTGATGGTTCGCCTTCTGCCCGCCCCCCCCACCTCCACGATTCAGTGAATTGACGAGATTTTCCGGGGGAGTCACGGTTTGGGGCACATGTGTCTGCTCTGTGCTCTGTTCACCCCCCCACCACCACCCCCCTCAATGTGGTGAACAATGACCCCCTGCCCTGGACGACCCCGTGCCCTGACTTACGGATCAGAAGCGAGGACATTAACAGAGGGCTGTAGAACACTAACAGAGGGCTGTAGAACACTAACAGAGGGCTGTAGAACACTAACAGAGGGCTGTAGAACACTAACAGAGGGCTGTAGAAGATTGACAGAGGGCTGTAGAACACTAACAGAGGGCTGTAGAACACTAACAGAGGGCTGTAGAACACTAACAGAGGGCTGTAGAAGATTGACAGAGGGCTGTAGAACACTAACAGAGGGCTGTAGAACACTGACAGAGGGCTGTAGAACACTAACAGAGGGCTGTAGAACACTAACAGAGGGCTGTAGAACACTAACAGAGGGCTGTAGAAGATTGACAGAGGGCTGTAGAACACTAACAGAGGGCTGTAGAACACTAACAGAGGGCTGTAGAACATTGACAGAGGGCTGTAGAACATTGACAGAGGGCTGTAGAACACTAACAGAGGGCTGTAGAACACTAACAGAGGACTGTAGAACATTAACAGAGGGCTGTAGAACACTAACAGAGGGCTGTAGAACACTAACAGAGGGCTGTAGAACACTAACAGAGGGCTGTAGAACACTGACAGAGGGCTGTAGAACACCAACAGAGGGCTGTAGAACACTAACAGAGGGCTGTAGAACATTGACAGAGGGCTGTAGAACACTAACAGAGGGCTGCAGAACACTAACAGAGGGCTTTAGAACACTAACAGAGGGCTGTAGAACACTAACAGAGGGCTGTAGAACACTAACAGAGGGCTGTAGAACACTGACAGAGGGCTGTAGAACACTAACAGAGGGCTGTAGAACACTAACAGAGGGCTGTAGAACACTGACAGAGGGCTGTAGAACACTAACAGAGGGCTGTCGAACATTGACAGAGGGCTGTAGAACACTAACAGAGGGCTGTAGAACACTGACAGAGGGCTGTAGAACACTGACAGAGGGCTGTAGAACACTAACAGAGGGCTGTAGAACACTAACAGAGGGCTGTAGAACACTGACAGAGGGCTGTAGAACACTAACAGAGGGCTGTAGAACACTAACAGAGGGCTGTAGAACACTAACAGAGGGCTGTAGAACACTGACAGAGGGCTGTAGAAGATTGACAGAGGGCTGTAGAACACTAACAGAGGGCTGTAGAACACTAACAGAGGGCTGTAGAACACTAACAGAGGGCTGTAGAACACTAACAGAGGGCTGTAGAACACTAACAGAGGGCTGTAGAACACTAACAGAGGGCTGTAGAACACTAACAGAGGGCTGTAGAACACTGACAGAGGGCTGTAGAAGATTGACAGAGGGCTGTAGAACACTAACAGAGGGCTGTAGAACACTAACAGAGGGCTGTAGAACACTAACAGAGGGCTGTAGAACACTAACAGAGGGCTGTAGAACACTAACAGAGGGCTGTAGAACACTAACAGAGGGCTGTAGAACACTAACACATGGCTGTAGAACAAAGACTGGTGGGCTAAAGAAGCGTGAGGAGCGTTGCACTCTGGGTACTCGCGAGGAGGAGGAGCGAGGAGGGGGAGGAGCGAGGAGGAGGAGCGAGGAGGAGGAACAAGGAGCAAGGAGGAGGAGCGAGGAGGAGGAGCGAGGAGGAGGAGGATCGAGGAGCGCGTGGGTTTGAGGACACACGTGGGTTCGAGGGCGACGTCGCCGTGGCCGATAAGGAAATGAAGTGCGCACTGGGCAGAGACCATGGGCGTCTAGAAAGGACGTTGGCCCCGTCGTCAGAACTGACAACGAGGTAGCAGCCGAAGGAGGGGGTGTGCCTGAGAGTACCTGTACGTGTCCACCACGGAGAGGGAGAGAGAGCGATGAGATTGACTCTCGTGCGAGCGCTAGGCGGATCGTCGCGTCGCAGAATCACGGCGACGACTTGGAGGGGAGCGCCTTTGTCCAGCAGTGGATTGACCATGGCGGATGATGTTGTTTTGGAGAAGAGAGGAGATGGGGAGGCCTTCATCCAGCAGTGGATCGGCAGAGGGCTGTAATCATTATTATTTGATCACAATGTATCACTGCCTCGCTTAACACCAACCCCACAGAACAACATCCTGGCTTCCAATTGACTGCGCATACAATTAACTAACGTACGTATGTTGAACTTCTTTCGCACAACCATACGTAGCCAACCGTGGAAATCGGGGGTGCCGAAGGGGGTTGGGGGGGGGACAACAGACTAAACACAAAGAGAAGAACTGCATTGAACCGCAACGGAACATTCCCGTGGCAGATTTGGCCACCTCTCTGCACCGATGGGCGATTCAGAATGGGCTCCCCGTGTTCGACTGTGGCCAGCGGTCTTTCACCACGGGGCCGCACGTCCACAGCGGCATTTCAGATGAGGAGAATGAAAGGAAGAGGATTTACCCCTCTCTGGCAATAATACACGAGGCGTTAAGATGTTCAAACACCAAAGAGTACAGCGCCTATTCGGATAGCATCAAAGTCTGCAATGGAACGTACACGCCTGTGGGTAAAACATGCAAAACAAACGTGCTTTCAGGATCAGAATCTTATTCATACTGGAGGAATCCGAAGAGCTCTGAAGCTCTTTTTTTCACAGATCCCCTTGAAACGGATTGGCCCACACCCCAAGCAAGGACAGGCCTCCATTGTGGCCTCTTCTCGCCGGCGTTAAGACCAGCGAACGATGGCAAGGCGATCGGCACAAAAGGCTATGCAACTAACAAAGCAGTAATAGCTTGGCGTGGGCAGTTGAGCATCTTAACACCATGTACAATTGCACAATCACAGTTAACAACAAACACACTCGACACATTCGTCACGTCAATAATAACACCGGGCCCTTAAAAGCATTTTTATTTTTTAATATTGCACGGTGACGTCTTGGGCACGTGGCCATTCTTTGTGACAGTCGAAGGGTTACATTTTGATTTAAAGCTTTCGTGACTGCAGTAATTCATATTCTTAGTTTTTTTCGGTAAAGTCACGTTGAAGAGAAACAACAAAATAATAAAATATATAAAACAATAAAAAAATTCTTGTTGTTGCGAACCAACACACCTGAAGACGACCGTTTGAGTTATGGCCGAAACGTCGTGAGAATTTTTTTATTGTTTTATATTTTTTATTATTTTGTTGTTTCTCTTCAACGTGACTTTACCGAAAAAACTAAGAAGTCGAAGGGTTGTTTACGATCTGAATCGGGGCCTGCATCGATACGCTCCGTGCACTCGATAAATTCGCTCCGTGGTCAACGGACCACCCCGACCGACTGCACCAGCGGTGCTCCCCCGTTACTGCCGCTGGACCCGATGCAGCGCAAACCCTCGCGCAGTGCAATTGTGAACAACAACCACATCAGAAATGAGTCAATCTAATCGGCATAGTCATTGGTTCACTGCAGCTCAAAGACTCAGTCCCTACAAGGCATGCGGTGGAGTTAGGAGATGTCCCCTGGGTGGGTGTGTGTGGTCGGCATTTGAAGGCCTGAAGACCCGGAATCAGTGATTTTGCCGACAATGTGTTCATCAGGGAGGCAGTTCCATATCCGGACAGTAAAGTGAAGGGAGTTTCTGTCCAAGAGAGCAATGTTCTAGAAACTTGGGGTGGGGGGGGTGCAATGGGGTGGCTTGGTAGGGGTTGTGCAAAATCTGGTGGCACGGCATCTTTCATATGGGGGGTGGAAACATGGCCTGAAGGTCTGTGTGGGGGTGGGGGGGGGCAGTAGTTGGTGTGCATTTTGTACAGGGACTGTGACACCA